ATTACAGAAGCAAATTTAACCCTATTAAAGATAATAGGAAAATTACTAAAGACAGAAAGTGGAAAATTTTCTACAAAAGAAAAAGAAAAAAGAATAGTATATATAATAGTGAAACTATTCAATCAAAATCTTGGGGGTCTCACTTCATTTTCAAAGGCAAACATGTGAATACCAATGAAGACAAAAATTCCACCCCCCTCTACCCCCCTCCCCATAAAAAGAACTTTTCGGAGTAGCCACATACAGAAATATATTACTATTATTCACCACTGACATTATAACAGTACCCTTTTTCACTTGGATTATAAAAATAAACACTATAGTGTTTTAATTGGACTGCAATGACATTTTTGGACTTTAAAAATGTGTATTACTATAAATTGAGAATCAATACACTATAATATATTAATTACATACTTTTCTTGAGCCGAGAGTCTATCCAGAGGAGGAGTCAGGATTTAGAACTTATGGATTCAGTATTCTAAGTCTTTTAAGTTACCGGACTCTAAATTAACAATTTGTACATAATTCAATAATTTTTTTAGACAGAAACAGAGTTCGAACAAAAGTTACTGGGTAAAGCCGAAACCATATCCGAAGGGTTGGCTCAGCCCCTGAGTATATCGAAAACAATATCTCTACATTTACAAAGTATGGGTAAAATATGCGTATACACTACCCTCTCAAGATCTCGTTTGTGGGACCGCACATAATATGTTGTTATTGTTGTTGAAAAATGAATTTTTACAAAAAGACCAAAACCAACCTTAAATTGATTACCAAAGTGGAAAAAAAGTTCAACAGACAACTAAATAGTTCAGAAATTATAGCATTAAAGAAGATCCCAATATCCTCAAAATAAGGTTAAAAGTGGTGGCCTTTTAAAGTGGATACTTGGATCTAGGCCATAATTAAATGAGAAATTTTTATAAAGCACTATCTTTTAGTAGTAATTAGCCATTTATAGATACCATTTGCTATATTACGGATTATAGATACCTTTTCTGTGGTTATAAGATGTATTTGATGTATTTAAGCTATTGTATTCATGAATACAGTAGCAAAAATAGGCGTGAATCAGGGAAGTCCAGCTAATCAGTTGTTGTATTCGACTGTATTCATGGAGTGAAACATGGGATTACAGCTGGACAGATTATTGTATTCGACTGTATTCACGGCGTGAAATAGGGGGATACACTATTTTTAAAACGGAAAGTAAATCAATTAACATAATAGACTCCTAATATAACTCAACAAACTCAATTATAACACATAAATTTTGTATTTTCAGTTATAAAAAAGGTTCTGAACCGAAAAATACCCTAAAAACATAGCAATCTTCAGAGAAATTATATAATACCTCTGAATACATAAATTATATTAATTAAAAAAAACATATGAATACATTCATGGCATATAGCGAGACAGTGAATACAATGAAATACATAGAATACAGCGGGATACATTGAAATACAATGAATACAATAAAATACATGAAAATACAGCGTGATACATTGAAAAAACATTAAAATATATTAACAGAAAATCAAGTTGCTCAGCCCCAAACTCCGTCGTCTTTGTTCAAGAACAAACCCTAATTTCCGGCGAATCCGCCGTCGAGCAAAAACCCTGAATCTCACTGTTCACACGCCGCCGTCGATCGGAGGCTTCATCTCCTTTGGATTAAATTTCGGTTGCAGAAATTAAACACTGCTTGGGGACGCGTGACCGTCTTGTCAGAGGAGACATCCATAGCCGCACGACCATTTTTCTTATTCTTGTTTCTATTCTTCGCCATAGCTATGCGAACAGGGAGACGTAAGGATTTCTTCTGCAATTGTAATTGCAACGGAAGGGTTTAGGGTTTAATATTGCATATGGAGGAAGAAGAATCTCTAGAGTCTTCAGCAATGACCGAAATTATATATACATACCTAGTCTTCAGCAACTCTAGGGATTAGGGTTTAAAACTTCTTCGTTTTATCCTTATACTAAAATGACGATGGTGGGTGAAGGAATTGGAGAGTTCTTTACGAGAAATATGAGGTAAAAGTTGTATCAAAGTAGAGAGAGAAAGAAAATATTGTAACTGAATAACGTATTTAGTGGCTTAGGAGTAGGAGGTAACCAAAATTAGATATTTTGCTATAAACATTAAAAGGTATCTATAGAATATAATTTTTTTAAATGATATTTATTTAAAATAAATAAGGTGTTAACCTTTGCTATAGGAGGTAAAAATTCCTAATAAAATCCAGTCATACTATAAATTCAAAATTAATTTCAATTCAGATAGTCTGAAATTTTCTAATATATAATTTCAATTTAGATAGTCTGAAATTTTCTAATATATTAACCTAAGTGAAGAAACTCCTAAACTATGCAACTAACTTGTAAATATTCCTGCTCCTATTATGTAGTAGACTACCCATTGAAATTTTCACATTTTCTATTGATGACATTTCTTTTACCATATTAATTATTATTTCAAAAGTGTACATGAAAATCCAAATTTCTTGTAAAAACTAATACTTCCTTCGTTCACCTTTACTTGTTCACAATGGACTTTGCACACCCTTTAAGAAATAATAAATGAAGTGCATATTTTACTATAGTACCCATAATAATGATAGTATTCTCAGAAGTCATAGGAAATAATTTGTGAAATGAGTAATTAATGATAAGGGTAAAACAGAAAAAATATATGGCCTTCTCTTAATTTGCTAAAATTGACAATAAACGTGAAATATATTTTTAGTATAGTGGACAAGTAAAAGTGAACGGGAGTATGGATATCTGCTCTGTGTCATGCAGCTCAAAATTTGTTCTTGTTTTTGACATTAAGCAGAATTATATATTCCATTGCAATACATTATAATTGTACTTAAACAAGGGTAACAAAGATATTATCCTAATCCTAACTTTAAAAAAGACAAAAAGAAAGTTAAAATATCATGGTATAGCCAGTTTTCACACTGGTCAATGAAAAATAACCGGCGTTTATCAAGTTAATGAAAAATAGCCACTATTTTGCTGCAACAGGGACCGGTCCAGTATAATATACGGGAGTTCTGGTACATTTGTGTACGAACTCCAGCATATTATGCTGGACCGGTATACTTTGCTAACTCCTGTAAAATTTGCGGGAGACTGGAGCATCAGTGCTCCAAACTCCAGTATATTATACTGGACAATTATACTTGCTGGAACTCCCGTAAAATTTGCGGGAGTTCCAGCATAATTATGCTTGAACTCCCGTAAAATTTGCGGGAGTTCCAGCATAGTTATCCTGGAACTCCCGTAAAATTTACGGGAGTTCAAGCATACTTATGCTGGAACTCCCGTAAAATTTGCGGGCGTATTTTTCCGGATTTTGAACAGTGTTTTCGCTCAGATTTAAAGTGCCTAAATTTCGATGACTTTTGAAACTTGGCTATTTTTCAACGACCAGTGGTAAATCTGGCTAGTTTTGAATTTCTCCCAAAAAGAGAAGGTGCATATGTTCAGGGCCCACTAAACTGTTTGAGGGCAACATATTTTCAAAAATGAATCCTAATTTCTGATCTTTCTTCAGCTTTATTAAAACACAGCAAGTCCCTCTCTTCATTATTATTTTTCCCCATTAGGGGCCGGTATTTAAGGACCTTGAAGTAACGATAAAATAATTTTTATGTGATCTATAAGTTACGGGTTTGACTCGTGAAGCAAGGGTAAAGTTGTTTCTATGTAATCTATAGGTCACTGGTTCAAGCTGTGGAAGTAGCCGCTAATGCTTGCATTAGGTTAGGCTGTCTACATCACAACCTTTACAGTACGGATCTTCCTCGGATCCTTCGTGAATATGGAGTACTTTGTGCACCGAACTATTCTTTTAGGAGCCCGTCTTGTATGATGTATTATTCCTATGTCTTATTTCATGTGACATTACTCCCTCCGGTCCAAAATAAGTGATTTTTTGGCCTTTTTCTTGTGGTCCAAAATAAGTGATTTTTCCAGATTTCAAGAATGAATTAATTATTTTTTTCCTACATTGTCGTTGGAGTAAATAGTGTTGGAATATGTGTTAGGAGTGTTTATGTGAGATAGTAAAGGTTAATATGGTCAATTCCATTGCTAATTAATGCTAAAAGGTGGATTTCTTAATCTGTGTGAAAACATCCAAAAAATCACTTATTTTGGACCGGAGGGAGTATTATTTTAAAACTGCTTTAAAAAGGTTATATTTATCTTTTTGAAAAGTATTTTATTATAATAGTCTCATTTTATACATCATGACATAATTTATTGGAACTAATTTAATACAAAAGTTCATTTTTTTTCATCTGCCAGTTAGGCAGTCACTCGGCGGATTCAACTGATTAGGCAATATCTTTGGTCTAAACGGGATATAGAAAATAAAAAGACAAGTAAAACTCTTACCAAATTCATTTAAAAGAATAACTTCAATACTTTGAACATATTTAACTCACATATAAAAAAAAAAAAATCATTACTCTTTCTTAAACTATATGGTGCTTTAGTGTTTTACTACCTTAACTTTCACACATAAGAAGGAAACCTTAGAGCAACGGTCAAGTTAACTCTATGTGACCTATAAGTTACAGGTTCAAGTCGTGGAATCAGCAATTGACGCTTGCATCAGGATAAGTTGTCTACATCACACCCCTTGAGATGCGTCCCTTCTCCGGAACGTGTGTGAATGCAGGATGCTTCATGCACGGAACTGCCCTTTTAACTTTTACCCACAAAATTGTACTTTCTACCATCAACCAACCATGTATACATAAAAAAAGATTGTCTGTTTCCAACTCAGCCCTCTCTAATAGACTCTCCAAGTATTGTAAGTAACGGGTTCGAGTTGTGGCATCGAGTAAGCTGCCTACATTACACTCTTTGAAATGCAGCCCTTCCTCGAATTCTGTGCGAACGAAGCATACTTCGTAGGTCTGTCTTTTTAACTTTCACCCACAAATTTTACTATTTACCATCAGCCAACCATATATACTTAAAAAGAGTTTTTCTTTTTCCAACTCATCCCTTTCTAGCACTCTAATAAACTCTCCAAGTACTATCCAAGACTCCTCTCAAACTCATTTTCACAAACTTTTCCAACTCTTGTCATCCATTTTCACCTCATATTAAAAGCTTCATTTTGTCATAGTTTCAAAAACTTAATTTATTTTTTTTCAGTAAAAGATGGAGAATGAGAAAGAGCTGCCACCACTAGTGGAAGCGCCGCCGGTGGCGGTGGTGATGGTGAGGGAAAACCACTCAACACATACATCTATAGAAACACTGTTAGTTGTATTAGCAGTGATAACAATACTTGGTGTTATTGCTGGTATAATTGCTAGGTTATGTGGTGGTAGACATTTTAGTGGTTCAGGTGAAGATGATATTGAAGGTTGGGTTGAAAGGAAATGCAGAAGTTGTATTGATGGTGGTGTTTCAACTGCGCCACCACCTCCGCCGCCGCCTCCGCCACCACAAGAAGAAGCTAAACCAGCAGCAGCAGCAGCAGAAGCTACTACTACAACAGCAGCAGAAGAAGCAAAGAAGTAAGAGAAATAGGAAATAGTTGTAGTAATATAATTCCATTTTAGGGTAGCTGTAACTAGTAACTATTCTTCAGGCTTCTCTCTTTTTCTTTCTTTTTAAGAACTGTCTTATTTTGATCCGTTTGTGTGCATCTCAATTATTTAGTCCAATACTTGTTTTCTTTGTATCTTAAACAGATAGGAAGAAATCATCTATCATTTTTTTTTTTAAATTTTTTGGTTTGTGTTTTGAGGGGTGGTGGGGTGGGAGGTTTCTAACCAGGTAGATTAAAGTTGTTGACTATAAGTTTCTTTTTTCTTTCCCTCCATGCGAAGTGAAAACAAATTTCACTTTTTTGTTTTTGTTTTTTTGTTAGGATTGTATTGTCTACTGAAAGGATTTATGATATTTAGTGTTAGTAGGAGTGATATTCACTTTTTTTTCTTTAATCGATATACTACTGTAGTTTTTGTACCTTTTTGTCTTGTTTATTTCATTGTAATGTTTTTCAAACATATGTATACCTATGGCATTTAGAACTTACAATTTTCTGATGAAACTGCATCCATTAATGAAGTGTTGATTTAGTTTTGATAGGAAAGCAAGTTCATTATATAAATTTATGACTTAGAAAGGTCATTGTATATACTCACTTCAATTGAGAAAAATGTGAGAATTAATTCAAAAAGATTTATACTATGAGATTATTTCGAGAAAGGTACTCATTAATCAATTGAAATAATCTAAAGCAAATTTGTAACAGATAAATCTTATGCTCGCATCAAAAGTATTATGTTCAAATGAACCCGGTATTACAAGGCTAAATTTGCCACTAATTTTTACTACTTGTAGCAGGTAATCTGGCTTACATTCAAAATAACAAATGCCACATTTTATTAAGAAATGTTTATAGATATCTTTCGATAACCTGATAATGCGAAAATTATATGATGTATATATTTCAATCTTTTCTGGATAATGGTGTAACTTTTACCAAAAAGTTACCTCTTAATGATGAAAACTCCTTTAATGTCTGGCAAAATCCAACCGTTAGATAAACAAATGTAATTATTCTCTTTGCATACAAATTTTGCTACTTTAACCCTTTATGTCTCTTTTATAAAAGGTTCAGGAGACAACCGTTGCATATAATCTGAGCCTTTTCAACTAAAAATAAATTTGGAGGACAAAGCATAGGGACACAGGACACTAATGGCACTTTATTGTCATTTTGATGGATCCCATGACATCTAAAGTAGGGACTACTCATAAAACTCCATAGAATATGCCAATGATGGAGAGGGAGGAGGGGGAGGGGGAGGGGGAGGGGGGGGGTGGAGGTCTCCACTTCATTACTTGAATATCCAATCTTCCACTCATTATTTAAGCATTACAACAAATTCTTGAACATAATATCAGAGTAAGATGGGGTTAAATCAAGCGACATGGACAATAAGGATTCAAATAGTCGATTTTAGTCGCCTCTTGAGCTCAGAGACCTGATCAATTTGCTGACCTAATATGAAAGCAAACTACAAACACACAAACCACCACAGCTCCATTCAGCCGCAGTCATCCTATATATTAGCTTGACTTTACCCTCACAGGTTTTCGATATCCTGCCAATTCGTTTCAATAACACGTACATAAAACTAAAAAAAACAGAAGGATACCTGGGGGGAAATGATTAGTCGAAGACATGGAATATACTAGGCTCAGGAGGCGGCAATCCCTGTAACATTGAAAGTACCAAAGAAAGTAGAAACAAGAAAATTTCCAATGGCATGCAGTATTGCATGAGCACTAAACTGAACTCCTTTCCTAATGCAGATAATTCTTTCTACTGAAGGAAAATATATAAAGGCGTCATTCTACTATTATCAACCAGCTTGATTTCAGAATGATGGAAATATAACTGCTGCACTAATAGTTCAAGGCTGGTGTTGTTTACGAATTGGATCTGCCCTTTGAAGGCCAATACCAACCTATGGGAACAAAAGTGTGGAGAACAAGCAGATTTACTTGACAGTTCCTCAGCAAGAATTAAATTAAGTTGAAATGCATGCAACCCTCAAAATATATCATGCCCCACAAATTCTGATATAAATCACATGTTCAAACTTTAAGTTAGATCATTACCAAGATATTGAAGCTCTCCTATAGCTTTCCAATACTTTTTGACAGTTATTTCAGGTTTGTAACTATTGCTGCCGCAGCATGCTTGGTTTTGCTTTCCAACTTATTATACCAAGTTGCATAGGAATTATTTCTTCGATAGATTTAGTATTTTCAATTCTTCGTAGTTTGTTCTACGAAGTGGCTCCAATAAGAGTTCTGAGAATTAAGAGTTACACTCTTGACTCTTGAGTAGAAAAAGCGTCACTGAACATTTATTTCTAGCACTTCAGCGAGCCTTTCAGATGCATACTCATTAGCTTATAAATATATCTAATAATACTTTTACATTACACACCGAGAGGGTCTAAAAAGTAGGTGAAATAAGGTGTGCATTACTGAAAGCAACCTAGATTATTCCCATACTAAGAGAAACAAGGTTCATTTAAGAGTTTTATTGTACTGAAGTAGCAACTTAGATCATTCCTATACTAAGAGCAACAAGGTTCATTTAAGCGTTTTATCCTAATGAGGCAACGGCATGTCTTTATTGTTGACAGAGACAAGGTCTAGCATCATTTAGAGTCTAAAACGAGAATGACAGAGGGAAACACGAATTCAAAACAAAGGGATTTCATACCTCAAAGTGGTCTGAGAAGCTTCAGCCAATAGTAAAGGTGGAATTACCTGTAGAATGGGGATACAACTCCAGCATTAACTGCAGTAAATGTTTCTTAACAGCCAAAAGTCAGATACATCGCAGTTTAAGAAATTAACAACCAGATAATGAGAATACGAAGAGCAGGGGAGTTGGACTTCTACATACCCAACAAAAGAAAAATAGTTCCTCAAAGTTCTTAATGAAGTTGGGAAACTAACTTCATCAGCTAAAAGGTTCTCAACATTAGGTTATGTCCTGATAATGTTAAGGGGTAGATGCGCAAGCAGACCTCCAGATTTCCTTTTGGGGTTGTGTGTGTGTGTGTGTGGTGGGGGGGTGGGGGGGGGGGGTAGG